ACTTTAAAAGGGTATCATTTGCATTATATAAATTGTATCTCAATAAAATTAATAAAAGTAGATTTAAAACAAACCTATTACTTTCATGTGTGAATTACATAAAGTTTGACAAAATCTTTTCTATTGGGCAAAGTTTACACAAAAAAAAGAAGCAGCAGGGACTTCCACAACAGTCCAGTGGTTAAGACTCTGAGCTTCCACTTCAAGGGACGTTGGTTCACTTCCTGGTCCAGGAACTAAGGTTCCACATGCCACGCAGCAAGGTAAAAAAAAGGGCAAACTGCTATTTTTCGTTCCTTAAGGGATGCTCACTGAATTGAACTGAACTGAACACAGTCCTCCTCCTTATTACATGCCCGTATCCCTGCTTTTCTGGACTCCTGGCCTCAGGGAAAATTTGCTCCCTGAGCCCTCTACCCCTTAGAGTTTTTCCCCTGTCAGCCCCGCTCTCCTTCACCTCCTCTTGCTCAGGCTCTCCAGTTGCATAGAACCTCCAGATGCCTGTCCTGACAGGCTCCCGCCTCCTGGGAGCCCATGTTTTCAACTCTCTCACTTCCCCCAGTTCCCTTCCCCTTGGTGCTGTTTCCTCCCAGTCGCTTAGGGGAAAGAGAAAGTTGGCAAGGTGGATCACAGAAGGATCAACATCCAGTTTCTTGTCTATTTTTTTAGTCATCTGTTAAGGACCCTTGTTACCACTGCTGCTTAGGACCTGATAGACCAGTGGAAGGATGCTCTGGAGAAGTTGACGTACTAGCTGTGCGGTTGTGCTGGACTGGTTGGCCTCTCTGAGCCTGTAGCATGGACAGCCGGTGCCCTCCCAGTGGTTAGGGTGGGCATCTACTGAACATCAGCCACTGCTGCAGAGAGGGTGCCCTATGTGCCCAGCTCTGCAGGGTGTAACCTATTTAATCCTTCCAATCAGCTTCTCAGATGGTGTGAGCATCAACCCCATTGGACAGATGAGAAGTGGAGGCACAGAAGGTTAAGTAACTTGCCCAAGGTCACCCAGTTAATAAATGGAAGGCATGGACTCCAACCCAGATGGGCTGACTCTAGTCCGTGTTCTTAATCACTTTGCCCTATTGTCCCTGATAGACTGTGGGTGTGTGCTAAGTTGCTTCAGTAGTGTCCGACTCTGTGACCCCCCCTGCCCATGAGATTCTCCAGGCAAGAATACTGGAGTGACTTACCATGCCCTCCTGCAGGGGATCTTCCCCACCCAGGGATCGAACTTGCGTCTGTTAGGTCTCCTGCATTGGCAGGCGGGTTCTTTACCACTAGCGTCACCTGGGAAGTCCTGTTGTCTCTGATAGACTAGCCCTAAGTTTATTAAGAACAGTAAGAGGAAGAAGAGACTACTGTTCATGGAACACCTATGTGCATCTCATTTGGCTGCCCAGCCACTCCAGAAGAGGCTAAGAGACAGAAGTTCCCTGTCTGGTGCTATCCACGGTTGGTCAGAGTTTGTATTCAAACCCAGACCAGTCCAAGTCCTCTCTCTCCCACACTGTCCCTGCTTTGGCCCGAGCCTAGTGTTTACTGACCATCAGGGTTAGCTTTGCACCTGCTTCCAAATGTTCCATTTGTGGCCAGGGCCTTGGAAGACTAGGATGACCCCCTCCCCCAAGACACACAAGTGTACACACAGGGCTTTTCAAGTTCACATCTACAACTTATCCTGTTCTCTGTCCTTCCCTGGAACTTCTAAGGCTGCCCACTTAACATGCCCCTCCTTTTTTCTTTTTCTGTGATTTAGAAAGAAAGAGACTACAATTTAGGGGGAAAAAGATGGAAGTGCTTACAGGTTATTTTTTAAATTATGCAGTATTCAAACACCTGTGAAGCCACTTGTCTACCTCTATTTCTTCTCATATCATGAATTACAGCACCAGAAATCAGACACAGCATTTTCCAAAGTGACTTTATATGCCTTTCTCATCTAACTCTTCTAATAACCTCCAAATAAGTGGACTTGTTGGTGATTGTTTATGATTTTGCTGCTTTGCATCATTTCTGATATCAGACCCTCTATTCCTCTGAGGAAACCTTTCCCCACTCCCAGTACACTGTGTTTCAACTGAGTCTGACATTGCCTTTCCAGGTGTGGTCATGTCATTGAACCTGGCCAGTCAGAGAAGCTAATTCCCCTAACTCCTATGATAGGTTAGGATTGGGCACATGATCCAAACTGAACCAATGAAACGTAGTCCCTGGGACTATTAGAGGTTCTGCTATTAACCTGTAAACCTAGTTGATGAACTAGTAGCCTGCAAACCTGGAACTTCTACAGAAAATCTTTCCATCACAGGGAAAAAGACTGATAGAGAATGGTATCAATGTAGAAGAAAGCAGAGCTGAATGACGAAGATGCCTTTGAATCCCTGGATCCAGCCATGCCTGAAGTTACCATGATGTAATCCCACGCTTCTCAACTTCATGAGTTGATAAATTTCCCTTTTGGCTTGAATCCCTTTTTATTGAGCATTTGTCACTTGCACTTGAAAGTACATACACAGTAAAGATTCTGTCTCATTCACAGTTGTCTCCATTGGAAGATGGACTGAGATGAAGGTCCTTGGATGCTGAGTGATAGAGCTGGGACTGTAAGTCAGATCTCTTAACACTAGCTGTCACTGGTGCTGTTCTGCAGACAAAGAGCAGGCGTCTGAGTTGTTGTTGGTCAGTGCTGGTTCCAGCTGAAGCATGTGCCGTCATTCGGGATGGGTGCCCCAGTGGGAGGGTTCGCCAAGGCTGTGGGAAAATGCTTCACTAAGCCCTAGAGAACTTTCACCATCTGTCCCTCAAACTGGGCACACCCAGAGTGACCTGGCCCTGCAGCTTGGCCCATCAAGAGACAGTTACAGAGCAGAGACTCACCCTTCTTCAGGAAGGTGAGGACTACCGCTTCTTCCTTCAGTCCCACCCGGGTGCCACCCTGAGCCAGGATGGGGTCGGGAGCCAGTGCCAGGGTCCTTGGCTCAGGTTGTGGGACACCAAGATGGGAGGCCGAGTTGTTACCGGGGGTGGGAAAACTCTGACTTGGGTCCAAGGAAATGTGGAGCTAAGCCAGTGTTTCCCAGTCTTCAGCCACACCAAGGTCACCTTCAAGAATTCTGCTATAGCCAAGTGTCACCTTTATTTCATATTGTCCTGTTTCAATAATGCAAGCACACCTCTGAGATATTGCAGATTCAGCTCTAGACCACCAAAATAAAATGAATGTCGCAATAAAGAGTCACATAAGAAATGTTTTTTCCAGTGCACATAACAGTTATAACACTATGTGCTGTGCTTAGTTGCTCAGTCGTGTCCGACTCTTTGTGACCCCATGGACTGTGGCCCACCAGGCTCCTCTGACTATGGGGATTCTCCAGGAAAGAATACTGGAGTGGCTTGCCATGCCCTCCTTCAGGGGAATCTTCCCAACCCAGGGACTGAACAAAGGTCTCCCTCATTGCAAGAGGATTCTTTACCATCTAAGCCACCAGGGAAGCCCATGTTACACTATACTGTAGTCTCTTAAGTGTGCAACAGCAGTATATCTGAAAAATGGTACATGCCTTAATTTAAAGTATAATTAATTTAAAAGATTTTATTGATCAAAATACTAACCATCATCTGACAATGCAGGGTTGTCACAAACCTTCAATTTGTAAAAAAAAAAATGCAATTATCAGAAAAGCACACTAAAGTGAAGCACAGTAAAATGAGATATGCCTGTACCTTTAATCACCTGCATGAATTGAAAACTGGTGTCACTTGTCAAAAATATTGACCATGAGGATAAATACAAGGAACACAAAATGATGTTCTTAAAGTTCAACTCAAGATAGCTTCAGGGCTTGACAGCCGACCTGTTTAACAATTAACAGATGAGTCCGGCTGTTAATTGCAGAGGCCTTAAAGGACCTTAAAGAGGGGTCAGCGCCAAGGCCTTGTCCTTGAAGCATATTCACGGCTGGGCGGTGACCATATGTAAAACCACTTCCCCTGCGGCTAGAGGTGCATCTGTGCATCTCAAGCTTTGGAAAACACCAAGGTAAGCAAATCATAAGCCCTGAACAAATTCTCACGAGCCATGGAAGGATATATTTATAGCTTTGTTTTTGCCCAGAGTTCTAGAAGTGCAGTCCTTCTGAGTAAGCAAGAACTGTAACCCAGAGAGGAAAACAGAACCAGCAGTAAAGACAAGCCCACTGAGGGACCAAGCCTCGGTTAAATCATTCATTCATTCAACATTTATTGAGCGCCTACTGTGTGCCAGGCACCGTGCTAGGCGCGAAAATACAGAGATGCATAAGATACAGTCCATGCCCTGAAGGGTTCACAGTCGAGAAGGGGGAGACAAACGTGTAAACAAGTAAAATACAGTGTGATAAGTGCTACAAGAGAAGCATTGACAAAGAGCAGAGGTAGCCTGGAGGGGGAGGGGCATGGGAGGAGGAGGGGGGACTTCCTGGAGGAGGGGGACCTTGAGGGGGATTGGTGAGATGACTAGGTGTTTGCCAGGCAGACAAGGCAGGAGGGGCAGGAGGAGCAGGGGAAAGGCAGGAGGAGCAGGGGAAAGGCAGGAGGAGCAGGAGAAAGGCATTCCGTTCAGAAGAAACAGGCACAGAGGCAGGTCTGGAGGGTGGGGAACTCTGACTATTCTGGCGGTATTGCTAGAGTTGGTACCAGAGGCTGTGGCCCGAGAGGGAGGCAGAGGCAGGCTGATGAGGGGAACTGAGGGCAGGGGCATCTCGGGGGCTCCCCAGTGGGGAGCAGAGCCTGAGGGAAGGCTTCCACCCAGGAAGAGAAGGCTCCTGGCTGACCCCAGGTACGCCTGCTTGAGGACCATTGCTGTCCTCACTGTGGCCCCAAGGGGACCTGGATCCAAGGCCAGAGGAGGAGCTGAGCTGAGGGAGGGCTGAGCAGAGGGGAAGGGCCCAACCAGGGGTCCTAGAAGCTGCCACTCACTCGAGAGCTGTCCACTCCTGGACTTCTGGTTTCTGCTCTCTACTGTGTAGACCTCCTGGCTCCTGCCAGGATAGGGCCAAGGGCCAAATGAGAAATGACAAGGTGATGTCCTTGGCCAACTGCAAAGGGCCAGATGAATGGCTTTACTAACTGAAAGGGGCAAGGGTTGAGGATGAAGCAGGAGTGTCTAAGAATAAGGGCCACAATGAGAAAACCACAGTGGACCTGGTGGACAATGGCTCTCTGGTCCCCCAGGAAGAAGGGGCCCTGCTGGCCCAGGGCAGGGGCAGAGGCCAGCAGGCAGGACCAGGCCAGCTGTGCAGTGAGCATGTGTGACCTACATGACCGTGGGGCCTCCAGTCCCAGCCTCCTGGTGTCTCCTTAGCCTGAGGTCAGGTTTCCTTGGCAACCGGGACTCTCCCGCTTCCAGGCTGCAGGGGAGTCACAAGTCAGATTGTCCACAGCCAGGCTTGCAGCCCTTTCCTCTTTCTCAGAAATGGCTCTGTTTAAAAAAAATGCCTTTGTGGGGGCGGGGGTGGCCTTGCTTTTGTGGGTGCCTTGCTCTTGTGCAAAAATGCCTGGGGGAGGAGGGGCAGAGGCTCAGAAAACCAGAGCCCAGGTGCCCCTCTGAGTGACTGCTTTTCCAAAGCACCTGACCTCAGGCCAGTCTGGGGGAGCGAGTTTCTTTCCCCACCACGGATGGGAGGAAGGGAAAGATGGACTCACCCTGTTCAGGACTCCTGCTGCCCTGAGTTCAGAGGCTGCAGTGAGAGCAAGGGCTCCGCGTCCTCACTGCCGCGGCAGGAACAGGGGGAGCTAACTCCCAGTGTTAGCTCTGCCCTCGGTGACTCAGCCTCACCCTGTGGAGTCCCCAAGCCTTCCGTCACCCGGCCTCTCGTTCTCAGGGTCTCCTCGCCTGTCCCTCCTCTGCCCCTGGCCAGTGTCCGGGTGGTGCCCGCTGACGAGCCGATGGAGGCGGGGTGGTAGCAGACAGAGGGATGGCGTGGCATGGGCGATGATGGGTGGTCTCCCCACTGCGGCGGGTGGACTGGGCCGGGCCGGGGTGGGGTCACTTGCTCTTATGCAGGTCCTTCAGCTGGCGGAGCCTCTCCAGGAGCTGGGCCCGGGAGCAGCCATCGTCGCCTGTGGGGCCAGGGCCTGGCCCCAGAGCCTCCTGCAGCACCGGGCAGTGTGTCCTTAGGAACGGGTTATAGGAGCGCTCCTCCCCCAGGGTGGACGGGCACTGTGGGAGGAGAGACACAGGCTTTGGTGGGGAGGATCTAGAAAACGGATCTGACCAGGAAAGCCTCCCCACCCCCTGCCCCACCCTAGGGTTCAAGTGTTCTCACTGGAAGGCCCTTGTGCCAAACAGGCCAGAGCTCTGGGGAGGGGCCTGCAGGGCCTGGCTCGGCAGAGATGGGATCCATCTGGGGAGTACCCTCGGCCCCTCCTGGACCCTAGCCCCGCACCGTGCTCTTGCGTTCCATCCGCTGCCTCTGCACCCACTGCATCTTCCTCTCCCGGGCCAGGTTCTCGGGCTCCACCACGCCTGCAAAGCCCAGGTTCTCCTCTGCATACTCGTGGCCTAAGGATGGCCATGGGGGCCGAGACACGGGGCAGAGTGAGATGGGTTATGGTCAGGAAAAGTCCTCCCATCCCCACGCCGATGGGTACCTAACAACTGAGGAGGAAGGACAATGCTTCCAGAAAAAGCCCAACCACAAGGAGCCGCTTCTGTAAACATGGGCACAAGTCAGCCATAAGTGATGCTGCAGAAGCAGTTGGGGGGAGGACCACAGACCTGGAGCCAGAAGACCTACATTCTAGCGCTGCTGGTTCTGCCCAGCTGTGCAACCTCAGTCAAGTCATGGCACCTCTCTGAGCCAATGTTTTCTCCTTTGGCAAGTGGGGAAAATAATAATGCCACTAATGCCACTAGTTATGTGTCCCTGAGGCTGGGATCAGGACCTGGTGCACATTAGGTGCTCAACAATGTATTTGTTGAATGGAATGAATGGATGAATACATGTTCTGAGGATTGACTGAGATATTAGTGGATGTGTTTTAGAAACTACAGATATGCAATGTACCCAAGCACGTAGGTATGGATGGATGGATGGATATTCCACGTACATGCATATGGATGATGGGTGTGCAGTGTGGGTGTGATGGATGCAGGTAATGATCCATGCAGAGTGGATTTAAGTCACCTCATTAATCAAAGGCTGTTTTCTGTTCTAGACTCTGGCTATGAGACATCAGCCATCCCACGGGGACACTCTGGGGCCTACAGGGCTCCTCAGAGGCTGTGGGCTGGCTGCCAGGGGCAGCTGACATAAGAGGCCCTACACAGCCAGTGCTCTAGAAAGAAGGGGGTCTGCCCCACTGCTAGAGTTGGCTCCTAGGAGTCACCGGAGGAGAGCTGGGTCACCTCTGGGCCAGGAACTGGGTCGGCTGGGACTCTGGGTGTGTGAGGGGCTGGGAAGAGATGGAGGGGCACCTCACCAGGCCACAGAAGAGTGTCATCCCCCAGCCCGAGCACGGTGTCCAGTGAGCTCAGCATGGTCTCTGCAGTACCCTCAAAGGTCCGTCCTGGTAGGGTCAGTGGGTATGTGTGAGGACCAAGGACCACACAGCATTGTGAGGTCGGTGGAGAGGAGTGGGGACCCCCCTATAGCTGGGGCTGGCCACCAGCCCTCACCCATGCCCCTGCTATGCACATTCACCTGGCAATGACTCCCTCCCTCCCCCTGGGAGCTGGACCCAAACATTGAGCCCTAGCTGGGCCCGTCTGAGGGCACAGACTGACACGTGGTGGGAGAGGGGTGTGGAACCTCCAGGCTGAGTTCTGTGGCCCCAGGCCCACTCAAGGCAGAGTTGCGCTTTTCCACACAGCACCTCCTTCTTTGCCTGCGCTGCCCCTGGGACTCCATGCAGCCTGGGACCGGTGATCCCCCACCCACAGGATCACCCTGTCAGTCAGGGGTTCTCAGGTTTTTGTAACTGGTCTTATCAGTCACTGTATCAGAGAACCCGGCTCCACCCAACGGAAACAAACGCTCATCGAGGTCTGTGCTCAGTTATAGGCTTCGCCTCATTCCGTCCATCCCCTTTGGGACGTCGTGAGGATATGAAAGAAAAATCGAGGTAACAAAGGTGGTAGTAACTGCTGAGGCAATGTGTGTGCTGAAACCAACATTTCCATGCATTGCGTGGGGCTGCGGCTGTCCTCGGGCCCCAGCCCTGGCCTCTCTCTCTCCCTCTCATTCCCGCTCCCCCCTCTTCCCTTTTGGGGGACTCACCACAGCCAGAGAGGAAGAGCAGATCCCCTGAGAAGAGGCAGGAGGGACCCTCATAGGGCTCCCCGTCCAGCAGGTAGACCAGATGGCCTTGTGTGTGGCCCGGGGTGGCCAGAGCCCGGATCTGAAGCCGTCCCACACTAACCACATCTTGATGACACAGGGGACTGAGGAGGGAGGCAACAGTGGAGAGAAGGCACTAGAGCTTGGGCCATGCTCGTCCTCCCTCCCCTGCCCGGCCCAGGCCCAAGGGGATAGGTGATGTGCAGGAGCGGGGCTTCCCCACCAGAGAGAGATGGGCCCCCTCAGTGCCCAGGGCTTCAGACTCAAGCCCTCCTGCTTCCTCTTTGGGGGACTATGGCTGGGTCAGTTGGGGGGTGGATAGTGCTAGGCTTCAAATGGGCTGTGATCTGCCCTCGAAGGGCCAGGAAGGGCACAGCAAAGATCCAACTGCTGATAGCCCTGAAACGCGTAACTGAAGGATGAGGGTGAAGGGCAGGGCCATCCCCCGCCCCGGGTCACGGACTTACTGGGTGAGGTAGGGAATGCTGTCCTGAGGGCTCCCGTACACCCGACAGTCCTGGTGCCGCCGGCTGAGGTCGCGGTTCCCTCCACTGTGGTCCCTGCAAGATGGCACAGACAGGCAGGGGCTTTAAGGGGCAGCTGTACTGGGCCTCCCTGCCTCCCTCTTCCCCAAGCATCTCCAGGGCTTTGAGCTCTGGGACTCCTGGCTTCTGGACTGAATCAAGCCATCCGCTCTACTTCAGACCTCTGTTCAAGCTGTCACCCTGCCCTCTAATTCCCCCACGTGGATCTGATCGTACCCACTCGGTGCCCCTGCCCCCCAAACCCTGTGCTGGCTGCCACAGTTATTGTTTGTACACTTTCACACAGGGCTGTCTCCCCATGGGACTATAACCTCCCTGGATGAAAGCAATCACAAGGTTTGCCCATGCCCAGCAGACATGCCCATGGAACCAAAGATAAATGCCTGCTCTGCCCTCCTCTGGTGCTTCAGGAGCCTGGTAAGTGGAAGAGGGGGAGACCCGTCCCTCCCTCTTCTCCTTCCCACCGCTGGTGCCCCAGTGACTACGTGAGGATGGTGCCTCCCTAGCCTGACCCCTGACCCGCAGCCCAGTCTGTTCTCATGGGTCCCAGTCCTGGAAAGCCCAGGAGGGCCATGGCCGGCCAAGGGAAGATGATCTGCACTCAGACCTCCCACCTCAGTCCCTTACCAGTGTTTGTGGGTGCAGAGAATGGCAACCAAGTTAACACCTTCCTTTTCAATGGAAGCCTGGGGGAGAGAGGAGGCAGTCAGACTGGGGATCGGGATGCTGGGTGGAGAGGAGAGCAGGGAGAGATGGGGGAGAGGGAGGCGACAGAGCCAGAGAATGGGAAGGGGGTGGGGAAGAGGCGGTTGGATAAAGGGGGGGCACCTGAGCCCCAGCACAGGCATAGGGTGGAGGGAGACTGGCGGAGCAGGTGGACACACAGGTACATGCACACAGAGATGTAAGAAATGGAAGGAATGATGAAGAGACCTAAACACAACAGTCAGAGGTGAGAAAAGCAAGGTTCAGAGAGGGGGCCACAGAGAGGAAGAGGAGAAGGAAGCAGGCTAGACCCACAGCCCCGGGAGAGCACAGCTTTCCCTCCAGCTCCGACTCTCCCACTGCTGTCCTCCCCTCCTCCCCCGGCCACACCCGGGACGCTGGCCCGTCCCCAGTGGGTCACGTGTGTTTGCGGTGGTCAGGGTGCGCTGTGTGAGTACGCATGGCGGGGGCCCATCCCACCGGCAGGGAGCAGGGTCAGCCTCTCTCTGGCAAGGAGAAGCTGCCAGTCCCCCGGGTGGGCCCAGGTCCCCCCGCCCTCGTCCTCCCCTCACCTGTACAGCCTGAGGGTCGGAAGGGTCCACAGCCACAGCTAGCCGGGCCTGGGTGTCGATGATGAGGTAGCTGTAGTTGTCCGCGAGGACAGGGATGGGGAGCACCTTCACTCCTGGGGTTGGTGCCGACCGTCTGCCTTGCTCAGTACTCAGGACAAGATGCAAAATGAAACCGACACACCCTGAGCTCAGAGCTCATCAGGCAAGATGTGAACTGAGGAATTCACAGAAGAGATTTGAGGATGAGGGCTTTGTTCAGTGAAGGCAGTTAGGAGTTAGGAAGCCGGAAGGAGGAGGGAACCCTATTTCAGGCAGGGCAGTGATGTGTCGCAGTCACACGTGGGACCTACTGAAGGCCAGAATCCTCAGCCCCATCCCAGCGTTTAAAGTCTCAGCCAGTTTGAGTGGGCCCCAGGAATCTGCATTTCTAACAAGCTCCAGGTGATGTTGATGCTATTGGCCCAGGGACCACAAGGCTGAGAACCACTAGGGTCGAGGAAACAATAGGCCCAGGCCCAGAGGCAGCAGATAGCAGGGTTCACTTAGGGAAACTGTAGAAAGCTCTGCTTGGCTCTTTGGTGGAAGAAGCCGGCAGAAGTGAGGCTGCATGGTTTGACCACACTCCCTCCCTCCACCTGCCACATTCCAGGCTACACAGTGAAAAGGGGGCACATGGAACAGAGGGGACTCGTGAGTGACAGAGTCCCCCAACACAGGATGCTAGCACACGGGGCGGCTTCACAGATGTGAGACCCGGCAGTCACATAGGGCCCCACACTTGGCGTGACACTCTGCTGTCACCATCCTGAAATCCTTAATGATTTTCTCTTTGAACTTGTGTCTTGTAAGTGAAGTCTGATGGGACAGAGGATCACGCACGTGAGCAGAGGTGATGCATATATCATCACGTCACATCCCATGTGTCTGCTCTGTCCCTGCTGCCCTGACCCTGCTACACACACCGTGTTCACCATAGCCATGAGCATAGAATTCTGGTGGACCCTCTATATGTGGGAATTCAAGACCCAAGAAGACAGGTGAGTGTACCTTTATGAGTAAAGGGCTGGAGGGCACTAGCTGACCTGTGAGCCACACTTTGGGTTCAAACTAGAATTTTCTTGTGGGATGTCCCTGGTGGTCCAGTGGTTAAGATTTTGCTTTCTTTCTTTTTTTTTTTTTTTTAAGATTTTGCTTTCTAATGCAGGGGGTGTGAGTTTTACTCCTGGTTGGGAAGCAAACATCCCATGCACCTCATGGCCAAAATACCAAATCACAAAATAGAAGCAATATTGTAACAAACTCAATAAAGACTTTAAAAATGATCCACATTAAAAAAAAAATCTTATAAAAAAAGAATTTGCTTAAAATGCATCAAGAGGCAATGGTGTTCTAAGAGACACAAGGAACCCTACCACATCCTTTCTTATGTATAATCCCACCATTAATGCTGCAAATGATGCTGTTACAGAAAGGAAGGGAAAGAGGTGATGGATCTGTCCTTTTCCTTCCAGCTTCTCCTCATTCATCAGAAAGCTGAAAGCAGAGAAAGCTGGTAGAATGTGCTATGTATCAAGAAATGAAACAAAAACAGCTGAGTTAGGGCTGTTCCCACACTTCCACTGTTCTGGTAAGAACATAACACATATCTGTGTACAAGCTAAGAAATGTGAGTTATGTAGTTTCAGTGATCCCACGTATAAGTTAAATGTTCTTATTGTTGCTGTTGGTGTTGTTTAGTCGCTAAGCCATGTCCAACTCTTTTGCGATCCCATGGACTTAGCCCGCCAGGTTCCTCTGTCCATGGGATTTCCCAGGCAAGAATACTGGAGTGGATAACCATTTCCTTCAGGGGATCTTCCTGACCCAGGGATTGAACTCTCGTCTCCTGCTTGGCAGGTGGATTCATTTGCCACTGAGCCACCTGGGAAGCCCCAGGTGTTCTTATATTTGTATTTAAAATTGACATTGCATGATATATAATGAATGGCACAATTCATGCTAATAATTAACATTTTAAATATTCCCCTACTCAAATGATATTAAGTAGCAAATTAAAAACATCACAGCAAGTCAAGAGAGAGAGATTGTAGAACAATATTTTTAATTGTAGAACAATATTCATAATTTCGTATCAGATGTGGCACTTCTTTCTTGCTTTTTGAGCAAGAGGCTCCAAATGCCATTTTATACTGGGCCCTGTGAAGAATGAGCCGTCTTGGACCCTGGGCTCGCAGGAGAGTGACAGGCTGGGCTGTGGGTGGGCTTGGTCAGTGTTTAGGTTTACATAGCAAGGCAGGGGGTAATGGGGGTGGGATTCTGGCTGATCAAGCCTGAGACAGAAAAGTTGAAGTTGGGATGCTGGATGAAGGATCCCAAGTCCCTACAGAGGTTTACTGTGTCTGTGGGGGGCAGGGGCAGGGGGAGGGCCCTTTGGGAAGGGCAAGCTGATCTGTCTGCAAGCACTTTGATCAAAACCAAGCATGTTTCCATGGAGAAGGCAATGGCACCCCACCTCAGTACTCTTGCCTGGAAAATCCCATGGAAGGAGGAGCCTGGTAGGCTGCGGTCCATGGGGTCGCTAAGAGTCGGACACGACTGAGCGATTTCACTTTCACTTTTCACTTTTACGCATCGGAGAGGGAAATGGCAACCCACTCCAGTGTTCTTGCCTGGAGAATCCCAGGGATGGGGGAACTTGGTGGGCTGCTATCTATGGGGTCGCGCAGAGTCGGACGCGACTGATGCGATGCAGCAGCAGCAGCAGGCATGCTCCCGTAACAATTCGCTGAAGGTGAACCACTGCTGTCCCGGTTCTGTGTGCCTGGGCACTTATTTCCGTTGGGAAATTGGATGCGCTGTGGAGGGGTTCTACCATCCTTTAGGAGTCTTCATGTCTGTTTTTTATGGGCCCTGTTTTCGTTTTACTTTAAAATTAATTTCGAACACGTCCTACTTTCACTCATTCCACAATATTTAGTGAGGCCTTGCTATTTGCCCACTCTAGGCACACAGCGGGTAAGGCAGAGTCCCGGCCTTCTTGCAGCTTCTACTCTAGTGGGACAGAAGGGACAGTAAACATACTGTCAAGGGACTTCCCTGTGGTCCAGTGGTTAAGAATCCGCCTTGCAAAGCAGGGGACTCTGGTTTGATCCCTGGTTGGGGAACTAAGATCCCACATGCTATGGAGCAACTAGGCCCACAGGCCACAACAACCGAGTCCTCAACTGCAGTGAAAGATCCCACAAGATGCAATGAAGACCTCGTGCACCACAACTAAGACCCAAGGCAGCCAAATAAATAAATAAATAAACATACTGTTCCCTGATAGCCCAGTTGGTAAGGAATCTGCCTGCAACGTGGGAGACCCTGGTTTGATTCCTGGGTCGGGAAGATCTGCTGGAGAAGGGATAGACTACCTGCTCCAGAATCCTTGGGCTTCCCTTGTGGCTCAGCTGGTAAAGAATCTGCCTGCAATGCAGGAGACCTGGGTTCAAACCCTGGATTGGGAAGATCCCCTGGCAGAAGGGAAAGGCTACCCACTGTAGTATTCTGGCCTGGAGAATGCCATGGACTGTATAGTCCATGGGGTCGCAAAGAGTCGGAGACGACTGAGTGACTTTCATATTCACTTTCACTGTCAAGAGAAGATGACAAAATAAACAAGGCAAAAGGACAGAGAATGAGGACAAGAGCTGCTATTCTAGATCTGATGGTCAGTCATGGAAGGCCTCTTTGAGGAGGTGACATTTCCAAGAAGGAAAGAGGACAGGACGTGTGAGAATCTGGGGAAGGCACACCAAGACCGGCTGAGTGCTGGCAGGAGCTGCTGATTCTTGCCTTTCTCCCTGCTGTGCCGTTGGGACAACAAACAATCAGCACAACACAGATGGGACTGGTTGGATCAATCTAAATATCCTGGATTGGACTGAAGATCAGAAAAGGAATGTTAGGGAGACAACACACGGAATTTCACTGAAGTCTGGAGAGTGGTAATGGTTTGGATGGATGTTAATTTCTTGGTTTTGATGACTGTACCATGGTTATGGAAGATGTTAACATTTGGGGGAACTGAGAGAGGGGGTATATGGGAATTCTTTGCACAAATTTTGCAAATCTAAGATGATTTAAAAATGAAAAATTTTAAAATAATAAAGAAGAAAAGAAAACCACCCTTGCTTCTGTGCCCGGACACCACCTGGCATCTAGGCCCTGTTCCTGACTTCATTTCTTCCTATTTAGGCTTCCAGGAAGTGCAGGACCTCTGACAACAGTAAGCTCTGGGTTCTCATTACAGCTTGGGCCATCCTTGGTCTGAGACCTTGGGATAGTCAATGGTCTCACAGATCAGACTTCTCATCTATAAAATGGCGATACGACTTACCCCTGCAGGACTGTGTAAGGATTAAGTGACATAAAACAAGATGACAAGTGTTAACATTCTCCAGGGCCTGAAGGGTGGAAGGTGTTTAGCCACTGCTGTTTCCTCCCCAAATTCAGCTGGACACCCTTCACAGCTTCTAGAACAAGGCCGTGCACAATCTGGGAGGGACTGGTAAACATTCCCTGTCTTCCCTTATTGGATACTTAGTACACGTACTTTGTCCTCCAACAAAGATCAAGATGTACAAGGGCAGGGACTATGCAGTAAGAAGCTGCGATAAACAAGGCCCTGCTCTTCCACTGGCTTTAACCAGCAAATATTTACTGCACGTGCTGGACCGGGTACAGAAGGCAGAGAACAAGGCAGATGGCTCCCTGCCAACATAATGAGAGGAGCAGCCAACAGACACTGAACTGGAAAACAAAACAATCAACAAGCAAGCGGTGAACTGTGGTGGGAAAGGAAGATGGTTTCACGGCAGACCGGGTGGTCGGGGAAGGCCCCTTCTCTGAGCGTGACCCTTAAGCAGGTTCGACAGATGGGGGAGCCAGCAGTGCTGACTGACTGTGGGGGGCGCAGCACCAACACCCCTAAACAGGCACAAGCGGGGCACACTCGAGGAGCTGCCAAGAGGCCACGAAGTCTCTAGGCAGAGAAAGGGTCAGCGAGGTGCGCAGGGGTCAGGCCATGGAGAGAGGGTGGAAAACTGCTGGTGGGTTTGAAAGTGCGCAAGCGTATGTTCTAACTTCCTTTTTAAGAGCTTGCTC